ATGTGTTCTGTCTTTGCACTTTTTAAGTACAGTTTCTTTCACTTTTTCTATTTGCTATTTATATTGAACTTATTATTTATGTTGAATTCATATATATTCCTTGGGTTTTCTTGGAAAAAATGATAAAAATTATTTTAAAAATTTCTTAGAAAGTGATAAAAACATATGCTTTCCTTAAAATATGCCTCCCTTTAGCTTCTTGAGCAAACAAGTGGTATTTGCTTAGAGGGAAAAATGACCTAGAACTTAGTCCAACATTAAACATTGCCCAAAAGATTAAGCAAAGGAACATTTTACTGGCATTCTCCATTTGAAAAATTGAACATTAACAAGACTTGGGAGTAAGAGAAGCAAAGCAAAACCCTCTTTGTACTTTCTTGCTTTCAATTTTTATTTTCCATTTTTACCCCTTTGGGGCCTTTAAATTTTCACTTTCAAATCCCCATCTATATTTTCATAGCTTCCCTATGTGTTATGGACAGTTAATTTGAGGATATCATCTATATTAGAATTAGATCTTTGATTTTTAAACAGCCAGCTAGGAAGCAGCCATAGGCACAAAATAGTTTAATAATTGGTTTCCTCTTAATTCCCATTTCCTCCTGTTTTGACATAAGCCTTTGATGCTCTCCACTCTTTCATTTGAGAGATCAAATTTGATGGCTTTATGATAATTTTGGTGCCTGTGATTAATATATGTCATGAATTTTGTACAAATCTTTGAAGTTCTGGATGTTCACAAACACAGTTATAAATGCCTAGAATTAATAAGTGTATAATAGTGTGCAATCCTAAATGTACCAGAGCCACTTTTTAAATTTTTTCTTACTGAATTTTTGTGGATTTCATACAGAACATCTCAGTCAGTCTTAATCATCTTTATACCCCCTTCCCCACTGGCACCCTCCCATAGCCCCCACAAGAGCCATTCCTTAACAAGTGAATGCCTGAGAAAATATCTAAATAACATCTGTTCCTCTCTCTTCCCACCCCAAGCCCAGAGTCATGGACGAACTATGTCGACTTTCACTAAAGAATTTCAGGATTCTGTCACTAAATGCATTGCAGAGCGTGAGTGACTTATAAACCTCATTAAGCATCCTTCCTTTTTTCCTGCAGGGAGCTGCTGGAACATGCACACATCCTGTGCTTTCTCCCCACTCCAGCACACATGCTTGCTTCTATAAAATGCCTGTCTGTTCCTTCTACTTTTCCATCCTTGAAATCCTCTATTCTCCCTGGACACACCCCTTTCCAGTTTTGTTCTTGTGTGAGTCCTTGTGTCTTGTAAGTCTTTTCTTTCAGGTATCGTCACCTTTTTTTTTTTTCACACACAGCATTTTGGCCTTTGGATGCTCCAGCTCCCTGTCGCTCTACTCGCTGCAGCAGAGGTATCACATGTGACCACTCAAGGAAAATTCCTTTCTCCCCTAAGTAACAGAAAGTTCTAAGCACAGACCTACCTTGCTTAATGCAATAGTGGAGGAGATGACTTCCTGGAGAATTAGCATTGCAAGGTGTTTGATGCAGCTCCTGTGGAGATCTCAGAGTGATCCATGACTCACAGTTTATATCTGCAGGCCTATCTAACGAAGCTTTTTATTATCTCTGCAGATTTTATAATTGTCCTAAGGGTGAGGAGGTTGGGCCTGAGTTGTGACCCTTACATGTACCCCTCTAGCTGCCTTTTTAACCATTCAGAGAAGTCCATGTTTATTTTTACTTTAGAAAATAAGCATATATGCTGATAGGAAACAAAAGACCTTTGGATGAAAAGTGGACTCATTAAAGGAGAAAATATGCAAGAGTGATCCAATTACACTTGAGGAGAAAAGGAAAATAAAATAAGAGTTTAAGACACCTATACATGGGCTGGAGAGGTCACTCCGCATTAAGAGCACTGTCTGCTCTTCCAGAGGACCTGGGTTCAGTTCCCAGCACCCATATGGCAGCTAACAACCATCTATAACTCCAGTTCCAGGGGATCCAACGTCCTCTTCTGGCCTCTGTGGGCATTGCATGACATGGATGCACTTACATACATGCAGGCAAAAGACTCATACACATAAAATAAAAATAATAAACTATTTTTAAAGGCCTATGTGTTAAAATGGTTGCAGTGGTAAGTTTCAGATTCTGTATCTTTTATTCCCATTTTTAAGGCAATAAGAAACCTAAACAGTGTGATAGTGACATATAGACTGATAGACAATGGAATAAAATTGTGAATACAAAAATAAACCCACAGTTATGATGATTGATTTTCAACAAGTGGCTAAGGCCATCCAGCAGTGCAAGAATAGTCTCTTCAACAAATGGAAAGGGGTTCACTGGATATCTATGTACAAAAGAATGAAGTTGGGGGCCAGCATGATGGCTTAGTGGGAAAGGGCGCTTGCTGCCAAACCTGATGACCTAAGGGTGCTCCCAGGGCCCACATGGTAGAAAGAGAGAACTGACCTCCTATGAGTTGTCACTTGACCTCCATACCTGCACCATGGTGTGCACGTGCACACACACACAAATAAGGTTTTTAAATTTTGATGGAATTAGATCAAAATCAATATTAAATTTCACGTGTTTATTAAGTTTATACCGTAATGTTTAAGAGAATGTCTTTGTTTACAAGAAATTTACACCGATGCATTTATTATATTTAAATAATGTAAAAAACATGTCTCCACTGACTTTGAGAATGGTATCAAGGATAAAGCTGGTGGAGTTGTGTATTAGTAAAGCTGGGTAAAAAGTATATACTAGTACCTTAGACCAATCTTTCCTCTTTCCATCAGTTTGAAATGAAATAAAAATCCAAAGTTACCAGCTAGGTTTGATTTGTCTTCTTGTCCTTTCTTGTCTGTGAGCCAGGTAGTGTCAGCAAAATGATGTTAGGTATACATCTAGTGTCTGCTTTGGCTCAGCTGCCTTGGTTCACTTTGTAAACTCTTATCTGCTCCTCAACTTTTGGTTCCCAATATATAATTTTAATTGCACAGAGCAATCTCTCCATGAGATTATTACATTATTAATTACTTAACTGCTATACACATTTATTGTTTGGGCTAACAATCATGTGCCTTTAGGGACCAATTTTTATTTTGTATAATTCTTCCTATTCACATTTCACAGCATCTTGGGTAATGTAAAAAATTTGACTGTTTCTTTTATTTTGGGGAATTTAAATATTAACTTCCCAGAGAATGGCTTTGCTGCCCTAGTTCTCCTCCAGTCATTTTCCCAGTCTGAAGTTTATTTTTAATCTCTTGGTAGAAAATCAAGCGTTGGCCCAAGAGCCAACCTTACTAGGAACATCATGCAGGATCATATATCAGCTACAGGAGAAGTCAAGGAAGCTCACTCTGTCTTTGTATTTGGTTTTTGGTTTTTGCAGTGCTGGAAATGGAGCTCAGGGCCTGGTGCATGCTAGGTATGTGCTGTACCACTGAGCAACATCCCCAGCTCTGAGAAGTTCTCTTTAAAATAGCATCTGCCATCAGAACCTAGTATGTGATAGTGTTTGGTAGGCATCACCTGTGGATTTTTCCCTGTTTACGAACAAGCCAATACCCAATGTCTATTCAAAATGAGTTTGTTAAGATCTTTCGAACTGACGTCATGATGATTCACATGGTGCCTGTGATTTCAGTTGGTTAACCAGTTCTCTTTTCTTTGTGGTGTATAATGGGATCTCCACTAGACAGAGGTAACCCATAGGACAGTCGTGTGCCTGGATGCTGGTGTGTGGTGCCTGCTGGTTTCCTTTTCATGATACTCCTCCTGAAGTTATGCCTGCAGTGCTGCCTTTTATTTTATGCTTGCATGAGATTATTACTTTGATTGCGCTTTCTTGGTTTGAATTCTTAAAACCTATTTCCTTTTTTTTTTTTTTTTCCCTTGATGCTCAGAATAATTCCTTAAATTTCTTTGACTGGTCTGGAACTTATGGACCATTGTTCCAAGTGCAAGTTGTTGGATCCTTTTCAGCTTTTGAAAATAACTTCAATGTCACCACTGAGTTTCTGTTTGGGTTTGAAATTCAGAAAACAGGAAAGTTTAGCTAGACATTCAGGAAGCGTCCACATGTCAGACAGGCTATTACTGGAGCTAAGAACGAGCTTTCTTTATGATTTATAGATTAAAGAAAAGGAATATGTGCTTAAGAGTTAAGAGCTGAATTTCAGGAGAACATCATCAAATAGCTGAAATTTAGGAGCTCCCACAGAAGTAGTGATAAATATGGCAGTTCATTGTGTCTGTTCCCCAGGTGCATGCCTATTCTGCATTATGTTTCAAAATATCGTGTCTCCTACAGATCCTTCTATATGCCAAACTACGATTCGTTGGATTCCAAAAGTAAAAACTGAAATTAGTATTTTGGAAATTAGTCACCTGAGCATATGTATGGGCCTTGAAAACAGCTTCTTACCCTCCATTTTCAGTCACTAACAGTATAATTTTTCTTGAGCAGTTGGAACTAATTTCCTTTTTGGTTTTAATTTGTTGGATTTCGTTTTTTACTACCTTATGTAAGTCTTCAGAGGGAGGGAGGTCATGACTAAAATAGTCCTGAAGAGAGTCTTATGTATTGAGTGTCAGGGTTAAATATGAAAATAGAAAATAATTTCAATTTTATAAACCACTGCTTAAATGAAAAAAAATTAACTTTTGTCTTGGCATTTTCATTATCTTAAAAACTGTAAAGGATCCATTGATTTTTGAATGGCCGTCACAGAAATGCTTAGGTTAGAAAGGAACAGACTGAGGTGAGCAGCGAGTCAGTTCTTACCATCTGTGTTCTGATTCTGTCTTGTCTTTTTACTCCTTTGGTTTGACCTGTGCATTAAGTAGAAGATTTCCCAGGAACGAGAGAAGTTTGCTGATGAAGGCAGCATCTTTTATACCCTCGGAGAGTGTGGGCTCATCTCATTCTCAGACTACATCTTTCTTACGACTGTTCTCTCCAGTGAGTATGGACTTTTCTTCTTAATTCTTAGAAAGGAGATTGCAGAAATATCAGAACAGCTAAGTTGACTGCACAGGAAAGCCACACATGTTGGTACCATCAATGGATTGTAAATTTTATGAAATCTTTGTTTGTTTCTGCAGTTTGTGTATAGAGTGCCTAAGGTATCAAGGTAAAAAACAAAACTCTAAGGTTGCATCTCCCTTTAGCTGAAGCTTTGCGTTCAGGATGAATCATGTATTGTCTGTTACTGTGGCCTGTGTTAAAGTCAGTACTCCCAATGCTGGGCGTGTTGGTGCTTGCCTTTAATCCCAGCACTCGGGAGACAGAGGCAGGTGGATCCCTGTGAGATCGAGGCCAGTCTGATCTACATGGTGAGTTCCAGAAGGGCTGGGACTAGGGAAAAACAGCAACAAAACAAAAAACCAAAGTCGGTGCTCCTGGTAAAAAGCATTTCTTCTGGGCTGGAGAGATGGCTCAGCAGTTAAGAACACTGGCTGTTCTTGCAGAAGACCCGGGTTTGAATCCCAGCACCCACATGGCAGCTAACAACTGTCAGTAACTCCAGTTCCAGCGGATCTGACAGCCTCTTCTGTCCTCCACGGGCATTGCACATGGGTGCACTTGCCTACATGCAGGCATAACACTCATACATATAAAATAAAAATAATAAATAAAAAGTAAAAAACGGGGGGGGGCTTTAAAAAAAGTATTTCTTCTACTGAAGAAGAAAATTGGTTCAATTGTTCTAATTGTACTGTATGGACTATACATATTTGATATATTTCTGGAGACTCCAAACTCAAAGCTCTCAAAGTTGACTCATTTAGAGTACTAATAAGTTTCAAATTTCTTTTCTTTTCTTTTTTTGGTTTTGAGCAGGGTCTCCTTGTAGCCCCAGCTGGCCTGGAACTCACTATGTAGACCAGTTTGGGCTCGACCTTACAGAGGTCTGCCTGCATCTGTCTCCCAAGTGCTGGGATTAAAGGCCATCACAGCCAGCCTCTGATTTTTTTTTTTTTTTTTTAAGAGTGTGTAACTGTCGGGTGTGGTGGCGCATGCCTTTAGTCCCAAAAAGATCAAAAAATAAAAAGAGTATGTAACTGTGTGCTACTTTATTTTAATTTTTTTTAATCATTCAAAAAATCCAAACAAAATGTTCATAGTTCTCTGTGTATATACTCTGTTAAAATATAACTAAAGTGAGGACCAGGGATGTGTCTCAGTAGGAAAGCACTTGTCTAGCATGTAAAAGGATCTGAGTTCAAATTCCAGCACTACAGAACAAAAAGTACTCAAAATGAATCGAAGAGTTTAGATTTGGATGCTTGAAAGAAGTGATTCTAAGTGTTTTTCCAGCTGGAACAAAAGCAGCCATCTTCTCGCCTTTGCTACCCTAAGATCTGTAAAGATAAAAGTGCTGGTCAGGAAGTTTAGTTTTTTTAAATGTTGTGTTAAGACAGGTCTCAATATGCAGCCCAGGCTGGCCTCAAATTTGCAGTCTTCCTGTCTCAGCCTGCCAGGTGCTAGGGTGACCTGTGTGCTCCACTATCTCCAGTGTACAGTGGAAGATGTGGTTGCTGTCATGACTGACCACTTTCATCCTTACTCCTGTGTCACAGATGGCAGGGAAAGAAAGATAGAGATTTGTGTCTCATCACAGCTGACATCATCCTTAGAGTAACCTGTGTCTGAATGAAAGCACATGGTAGTCCTGGGCTCTCACAGTGAAAATACCCATTGATACGGTTAGGACAACCCAAAATCATTAAAAGTTCATCACATTCATGATCTTAAGCCGTGTTTTATTAGTAGCAGTTGGCAGCACATGGGTTTTTGATATGAATGTCCACTCAAACCCCAGTCTCTTAGGTCTTAGCTTTGTTATTTGGAGCAAATCAATGAGCTTGTTCTTGTGCCTATAAAGTGAAGATGACTGTAGCACCAACCCAAATGAGTTGTTTGAGGAGAATGAGATCATTAATGTAAGTACCTATTTCAGTGCCTAGTATTTAGTAGATATGAAATCTTTCTTGGATTTTCCTTTTTATGTCCTATCATATATTATTTCATGTCCTATTTTACAATCCCCATAAATCTTTCCTTTTTTTTTTTTTTTTTTTTTTTTTTTTTTTTTCTTTTTTAAAAAGGGTCTCCCTGTAACCCCAGCTGTCCTGAAACTCACTATGTAGACCAGGCTGGCCTCAAACTCACAAAGATCCTCCTGCCTCTGCCTCCCAAGTGCTGGGCTTAAAGGTGTGCGCCACCGCACCTGGCTAATCCCCATAAATCTTATCTTTGTAAAATAATGGCAAATTGGACTGGAGAGCTGGCTTAGTGGTTAAGAAGCACATACTGTGCTTCCAGAGGACCTGCATTCAGTTCCCAGCACCCACATATAGCAGCTCACCACTACTTAGAACTCCAGTTTCAGGGGATCTGATACCCTCTTCTGGCCTCTGCAGACACCTACACCTATGTGGTATGCATTCATATACACATACACATAAATAAAAGTAAATCTTTTTAAAAAACAATAATGATAAGAATTGGTGATTTTTAAAGCTTTGTAACTTTACCCATAATTTGCATTATGTTTCACATGAGGCCTTAAGTGATGAAATTATCTTGGGGAACTGCACTGAAATGTATTATGTACTATGGAGGTTGTCCTAGTGAATGCTTGTTGAGCTGAATGAGATTCTAACTTGCATGTGCTGCCCAGCCCTGTTGCCTTCATATCTTGATAAATCTGAAAAGACCCTAGACCAGAACCTACAGAGTACTTGGCATGTTCCACAGGTTTCTTAATTCACCCACTTAAAAACATGATTCTAATAACCCTCTAGGTAACTTTACTTTTAGGCACCTTTACTTTTAGGTACTCAGCACCTAGTTTATTTTGGTAACTTACTATTAGTATGTAACTTGCTTTCTATGTTTGTCAAGAATGAAGAAAATACAATAAGGAGATGGTTTGAAGTGTTTCTTTTTTTTTCACTTATTTTAAGCATTTTCTTATCCTTTGAGGTTTCTAAGCCTTAGCAGCCATATTTTGGGGAGTATAATGCATTGGTGTGAGGGCTGTTCTGTGCCCTGTCAGCTGTTTAGCAACATTACTGACCTCTGTTCACCAAACACCAGTAGATTATACTCTACCTCTCCTCTTGTATAAGAAGCAGAATTATCTCTAGGCATTGCTAGATGTTTCTGTAGGGTTGGGGGTGAAGGGGAATTATTTTTGCCTGTGAACCATTTGTATAATTTTAGGCATTTTAAAAAATTATTGTTATAGTGCACCTTGTTATAATCCTTATGTTTATTGTCTTGGGGTTTGTTTAACTTTTAAAAAATATATTTATTTTATTATTTGTGTGTGTATGTGTGTGCTTGCATGTGCACGCACATGTGCCTGAGTGTATGTATATGCACCTGGTGCATGCACTACCCTCACAGGCCAGAAGAGGGTGTCAGATATCCTGGAACTGGAGTTATAGGCAGTTATAAGCCACCTGATTTGGGTGCTGGGAATCAAACCCCAAGTCTTCTTCAGGAGCGGCAAATGCTCTTAATCTCTGCACCATCTTTCCAGCCCTTCATTGGGTTTCTTAACCTGTGGGTTTGTGCTTTTTATCAAATTTGGAAATTTTCCAGCCATTCAAATACTTTGAGCTCTGTCTTCTTCAGGGACGCTAATGACATATATTTTTCTTACTTTAGCCTTATAATATGTAAACTGTTGTTATCTTCATTTTACAGATAAAGAAACTTAGGCATATAAAGAACTTGCCCCCAGCCTCACAGTGAGTAAATAGATAGTTCTGGATGTGAGCCTGAATTGGTGCCAGCGTCTGGGCTCCCGTGGCTTGTCTTTATGGCTCACATTGTCAGCACTGATAACCATAACTCACTTTACTGCCTTTCTTTCTCTAAGGCTGAGCTGTGGAAAGGCTATAATGGGCAGTTCGAGCATCCTTTCAATCTGAATGCTGTACACTGTCCACTTTATCTAACAAGCTGCTGGGGAAAATAAGCCACAGACATTACACTGAGATCAGTTCTTTCCTGTATTCAAATTGATGCTCAGATGGCAAAAACAAGGTACTAAGTGCTTATCTTTTTTTGTGGGGTAACAAGGGATCATTATAGTCTAAATAAAGTAAATAGCTCCCAACTCATTCCATGAGAGGGCAGACATGTCCCTAAGCCTCAGAAATATTGATAGTGGAGCCGTGAGATGCCACAGTAGGTAAAGGTGTTTGCCCTCAAACCTGAGAACATGAATTCAAGCCCCAGAATCCATATGACAGAAGGAGAAAACCAACTCCAAGTTGTCCTCTGACCTCCACCACGTGTGCACACACAGACACACAGTAAATAAATGTTTTTATTTTTTTAAAAAAAAAAAGTATTGTTGGCCGGGTGTGGTGGCACACGCCTTTAATCCCAGCACTTGAGAGGCAGAGGTAGGCGGGTCTTTGTGAGTTCGAAGCCAGCCTGGTCTACATAGTGAGTTCCAGGACAGCTGGGACTACAGAGAGATCCTGTCTCAAAAAAAATAAAAATAAATAAAAATAAATTTGTTGCCAGGTGTGGTGGTGCACGCCTTTAATCCTAGCACTTGGGAGGCAGAGGTGGGAGAATCTCTGTGAGTTCCAGGCCAGCTGGGGCTACAAGGAGACCCTGTCTCAAAAAGACCAAATAATAGTAATAATAATAATAGTAGTAGTAATAATAAAATTAATAAATAATAAATAAAGTACTGTTAAGGAGTGAATTAAAACTCTGGAAAGTGCACTAGCATGTATAATCATTTGTTGAACAGCAGGGGCCACAGAAAACCAGCTTAAACAGCATGAAAAGCCTCGCCCAGATGATGCAGGGCTGCTGGATTTCTGATTAGTTGGTTTCACTCAGAATTAAGTGACTCCATAAAGCACCATCATTTCAGTAAATATGAAAGCTCTGCCCCAACAGATTGAAACTGGGAATCCCAGGGG